TGGTGATTACGCAATGTGCACACAATTTGCTAAGCTCATTTCTCACGTTTTCCCCTCTTTTCCTTCCACTTGCAGCTTCTACGCTACGAAGAAAGAAGAAATAAGACAAGAAAACAGCGTACAAACAAAAAGAAACAGAAACAAATACAAAACAAGAATTAAATAAAAGACTGAGCAACGTTCAAGCAAATCCAAGGAACAAACAAAAAACCAACTGCAACATAAGCAATCTCCCACATTTGTCTCTCTCTAAATAAATAAGAAGAAATCCGTGTGGAAAAGCGCTATTTTGATCTCATACGAAAGCAATATATAAAGAAAAGCCAGCGTTTTTCACCGCCGGATCAGCCGCATTAACCCCGTGTATAATGTTAAGCAGCCTCGCCTCGTATCTCTTTGGATCGCCAGCAACATCCGAATCCATTAGCCAAGACGCCCAGAATCCCGCCCAGAACCCCAACAACTCGAATCCGGGACCCACCAGCGATCCCTCGGCTGGCGATGTAATTGAGGTCACCTCATCGACGCCCTCGGTAGCGGGCAACAATCGGGGGGCGGTACGCGCCTCCAACGGCAAGCGGGGCAAGAATAGGCGTGGCAAGCAGCAGCAGCGTATCAACCAGCAGCAACAGCAGCGGAAGCAGCCGGCCATCACCAAGCTGCTGACGCCCTCGGGCGAAACCATCGACGAGGACTTCGACGAGGACGAATGGTATATTGTGGAGAAGGAAGGTGAGTTGAAATACCTAAACAAAAAATATTGAAATACAACAAAAATTAAGGAAAAAGAGTTTAATATAGAGCAAGTTTCATTTTGAGCTACGCAATATTCCCACTTACAATATCTTTATTAATAAGAATATTAAATTCTCCAGATACAGAATAAATACGAGATTTCTAACATAGATTTTGTAGGTTGTCAGAGGTGGTTTCTGCCAAGATTTATTTTAGTATTATGTACGAGCCCATAAAACTAAAATAAATAAATAATTCAAATATGTCTTAAGAAAATTATTGAAATTTTCAAAACCAAATAGGCCTTAAAAATAAAGTCATAGACTTAAAATAAAATCAGATTTTGTTTTGATAAAATGATGTTGTCTAAACCATTAGCTCAAAAAAACAGTAAATAATTTTTAAAAACTTTTAAATATTTTTAATAATTTCCTGTTTATTTTCCAGACGAGGAGGACGACTCCCTGCCGCGCAGCGACTCGGAGGAGGAGCTCTCCGTGGTGGAGGTGTCGCAGGTGTCGCGGGGCGGGGCCACCGCCGCCTCCTCCGGCTCGTCAGCTGTCGGCGGCCATGGCCCAGCTGGGTCTTCGTCCCGCCGTCGGCAGCACCTCAACTCGCATTCCCTGTACAGCGGACCGAGGCCGCAGCAGCAGCGCAACTATCTGCAACGCTCGCGAGTCGCCCGTCCGCTGAGCATCAGCACCCTCAGCCCGCCCAGAAGTGTGACCGCCCAGGGACCCTTGGACCCTGACAATCTCCTGACCCAGTCGCTGTATGTGGCCTCGCCCAGCGGCAGCGATCAGGGTCTGGGCCAAGGTCTCGGCCAGGGTGCTAACGTGCTGATGGAGGAGTCCTGGTACGTAACACCGCCACCATGCTTCACCTCGATTGGGCCAATCAATATGGAAACATCACCATTTGAGAATCTATTGATTGAGCATCCAAGGTTGGTGATCTTTATAGTACACAAATACGAGCCCAAAACCCCAAAAACCCTCCCCAATCCAAAAAACAACCACAATTTACAGCCAAAAACGCACGCAAAATAATAGATCCCCTATATCATTTAGTGATTTTTATTTAATTATTTATTTTCATATTTTTCGCATTACAGCATGTCCGTTTATCGTAGTATTAGGTCCACCCAGGAGGGCACCGAAAGTTTTGTTAATCTTGATCTCGGGGTGTCGGCGGAGGTGCCGCCACAGCAGCAACGGGAGGATCCCGAGCCGGAGGATTCCGAGCCGCAGGATCAGCGCCAGGCTCTCCAGGAGCAGCGCTCCCACAACGCTCGCTTCGATCGCCATGCGGCCGCCCAGTTGAAGCAGCAGACGCTGGCTCGTCAGAGCCAGAAGGTAAGGCTCAAATTTAGATTAGAAATAGATTTTAAGGATGCGCAATGATCCATTAAATAATTTTTCAATTTAAGTATTTAAAATATGAAATACATTTTCGAATATAATTATTTAAGTAACGAACAATAATCAATTCGATGATTTTTGATTTTAATTATGAAATCTCATTATTTCCTAAATATCAAACATGTGTTATTTTAAAATTCCTACTATGAATTTTAAAAATGTATTTATTTTATTTTTACAAAAGATTTTTTATCATCATCAATTTTACTGGGATATTTTGGTTGTTTTAGTTAAAGAATCCTCCTGCATTATTTTTTTTATTTTTATTATTTCTTAAAATCTAAAAAAATAGTTCAGTTTTTGGTTGAATTCACCTTTTTCTAATCCACATATCCTCCTCATTTCACACACAGAGCAACAACAAGAAGCAGCACCAGCAGCTCTGCCGCAGTGCCATCAAGCGGGCCAACAAGGTGCGCGACTTCCAGGCCAAGGCCAACCGCCCGCGCCGCTCGGAGATGCAGCACTGCAAGCTGGTCAGCGGCGCCAACAACAACCGCAGCAAGTGCTGCTACTAGGCGGGCACCACCCCCATAAATACCACCCAACACCACCACCCACACGCCTCCCACGCCCGAAAAACGCCGGAGGAGGAGCATTACAATCATGGCAGGCGACGCGATTTTAATTAGTATTTTAACTTAATCCCCCAAAAATGAAACGAGATAATTCGCAAAACAAACAAATGCCACAACAATATCAAAATCTAGCAGCTAAAAAAAAAACACACACACATATGTTTAATTAATTAAACTTAACAATTAATTGTGTAAAAACGAAAAACAAAAGCCACAAAAAAATTTAACTATCTGTGTAAATGCGTAGGTTTTAACGTTTGCCGTTTCAATTTCAAAACTTATATGAAAAAATACCAAAAAAATGCAATAAAATTTTCAAAATGAATATGCAAAAAAACCCATAAGAAATAAAAAACACACATGAAAAATGACAAAAAAATAAAAACATGTATAAAATAAGCAACAGAAACGATTTTGTTAATGTAGCTAAGAAAACTATTTTATTTATTTAACAATCAAAAACACACACACGATTACTTTACGGTATGTTTTGCAAAAACTTTATGTTTATTTGAGTGAGCAATCTCTTGAAATTGATCTGTTTGAGTTTGTATGAATTTTAAGTGTGTAAAGTGTATGCTTATCAACATTGTAGAATGTATTGTATTAAACCCCTAAAACACCAGATGTAATGTTCTATTGTATGCCTGATTATGTTGGAAATGCGCGTGCGTATGTATGAAACAAAATATGTGTGAGAAAGGGGGACAAAAAAAGATAAAAACATATATATAACAAAAGGAAAAAATCACAATAAAAATGATTATGCTAAAACTTATATATCGACTTTATTATTATGGGAAGTTTAGATTTTTGGCGAGTGTTTGGGATTTTTTAAATTTATGTTTGATAGATTTCATTTTTTTCCTTACCATTTTTAAAATTTTTTGAAATACTTAATTTAAAGCTCTTTTTAATAAAATGCCTTCTAAAAATATCTACAAAATCGGTTGGAATTTTTTTGTAAAACAATGTCTGTGGTAAATATGTATAGGAAAGTAAGTTAGTTAAATTGAGTTCCCAAAAATGGGTTTAAAAATTGCATAAAATATTGTAAAGGTTAAAAGTTTGAGGAAATCTTCAACTAAAAATATTCCAGCACATATTTGATTCATTTAAAATCTAGTATTTAAATATATTTCGCTTTAAACCAATGTAGCTTTCATAACATCGAATTGCTTTACAATTTCATTTATTTTAAGATTTTTGGTAATGTGGGTCAAGTGATTTAAGGAGCGTGTTGTCACGCTCGATGGACAAGGGCTGCCCTCGCTTGGATATGGATTTCCAGTCATTGTCCATAGAGACGCAGTTATCCCAGGGTCAAGTGGTCGGGGGGCGGACGACGAACCTTTCACAACGCTCAAAGTGCCAAGTAATACTAATTAGTGATTAGTATTTTAGCGCAGACACGCTTGGCAAACGGTGGCAATTAAACGAGCCTAACCTGCAGACAGTTAGGTGCCGTTGACCTTGGCCAAAAGGTAAGGGGTTATCTTTCCAGCTCCAGCAGCTCCTCCTTTTCCTCTAACTTCCGCGATGCAAGCAACTCTAACGGCGAATCACAACGAAAGTAAATCAGCAAATGGAATCATCTCAGGTGGGCTCTGCTTCGAGATTCTTTCACAACCTGCAGCAGGCGGAGAGCCCTGAGAGCCACTAGAATGTGGTTGGCTGGCTATGCTCTTCTACACAGAGAAAAAGTCTAATAACATAAAAATTTACAAGGAGTAAATAGTTTTTAAATTATGAAAATAAATGGTTTAAAAAATATATTTACAGTAACAAATATTATACAAACATTTTGTTTGTTAAAGGATATTTTATAAATATCCATGAGAAATTATAGTAGGGTTCAAATATTTAAAAAAATATAGAAAATTAATTTGTCCAAGAATGTTTTTTTTAATCTCTGAAGAGATCGTAATTAACTTAAGTATTTATTTAGGATAACTCCATCCTTATGATATTTTAATACTTACAATGAGTCCCTAAAATATTTTATTTATATTTAATCTTTAAGTTTGAAAAATAGTTCCCTATTTATATTATTTATTAATCCCATTGACACCATTTGTTAGAACCTTTTATAGAATTTCTAATTCTTATTTTCTTCTTTATTTTCAAACTAAAATAAAAATATCCGCCCATCAGCTAGATTTTCTTATGTGCACCGTATTGGATAGCTGGATGTATGGATGGATGGGGGAAAACTTTATAAAGATCCGCACTAGCCGCGCTTGGCTTCACACCTGCTCGCATCGCGAAGAGCTGCAAACCAGCGTCCGCAAAAGTTATAAGACTCAAAAATCCAAAGACCGGCAACGGTACTCGGAACTCCGTTCGGACTATTATGTAAGATTAGGCAATCTGCGAACATACATCCACATCCATCCATCCACTTACATACTCGCTCGCCCAACTCCCCCACTTTGGCGGCTGATTCTATTTGGCAAGTTGCACTTGAGTGATTTTTCGGGCTTCCAAAAAACGGAAAACCAACAAACCTTTGAACAGACGTGCAATATGTAAAGCGGCCCAAATGACGTAGCCGAGAAAACCCGACAAAAGCTGTAAGCCAAAGATCGCGCAATATCGAAAACCATTATCGAAAGTGAGACCAAGACAAAACCTCGAAAATACTAAAAAAATAAAAACTGAACAGTGCGAACCGTTTTGTAGTGTTTTGAGACCAACACATTTCGGATCCGGATCGTCAACTTTTATGGCCATCGTCGGGAAAATTTGCTAAGCCCACCGAAATGGGCCAAGTTTTTCGGTGTCAGTTGGTCAAAGTGCGTGAACTGTGAACTATTCAAAGTGATTCGCGGTTGTGGGTGTGAAGAAAAGCGCGTTGGAAAAGCCAAATTACATTGAGCAGGTCAGTGCGGAAATTGTAGTGGATTTAAAGCGATAAAGGGATTAAAATCAAAGGAATTTTTACGAAAGAGGTGAGTCTTTCAAAGGAGAAAGATGAGGTTTTATATCTCCAAAAATATAAATTTGGTAAAAGCTACCTTAAAAAATGTTTTTTGATTTGAAGATTCATACTAAAGATCGTAACAAATTAGTACATGTAAAATAAAAAAAAAAAAATTAACAAATTTTAAAATCTTGGAAAATATGTTTATAAATAAAATAAATACTTAAAAAATAAATAAAAAAAGAAATTGGAGGAACAAATATTTAGCAGACTATGCTATTACTTAGTAATTTCAGGATTATATTTTCGATTATTATATGATCTGATTTAATTTAAAATATATTAAATATGTATTATATATTTTTAGGGGATATTAAATTACAAATTTTCATAAAAATGTGCTCAATTTTTAAACATATCATTCGAATAGCTTATCATATAAACACTTCATTATTTTTCGGCCAGGATGAACTGTCAATGGCCTAAACCACTTTAGCCACCTACGAATAACGTATTTTGAACCGTTAGCTATTTGCAATTAATGTAGGCAAAGGAAAACGGCTCAAGGTCAGTTGAAACCGATTAACTATAATTATAAAAGCCAAGTGTAGGAGCAAAGGCAGAAGAACAACAACAGCAGCAGAAACAACAAGAGTGGCAAATAATGAAAGCCAAAAACCGAAACCAAAAACCCAAGAAGAAGAAGCGGCAAAAACAACATCAACTATTGCATAATAACAGTAGCTATAGCCACAAATGCAAAGCGAAACAAAAAACAATAAACAAACATGAACCAAACACCAACAAGAAGTTGAAGTAATTATAACAACAATTAAGCAAACGGCGTGCGTTTTTACAGCTAAGCGAAAAGGCAGCCAAGCGATTTTGGTGGGAGAGGAGGGGTAATCATATAGGGGCAGTGGGTATCGTTCATTAAAATGTAATCCAAGTTTAAGCGCAGACTAAAACCGTAGACTCAGGTGGATTCTTTTGCGTGGGCCATAATTAAACCATCGCAACGGGTGACAGTTTTATGGCTTTGACCTTAACGCCAGACAAACGGAGTTAGAAGATGATGTATCTCAGAAGTTGTCATTGTTCTGGCTATAGCTTCTTCTACGACATTGATAGGGAGGAAGATCTCCAACGGAAGTAACATTATGCTTGATGGGCAGAATCTGCGATATTACTTTAAGATAAGCTGGTAATTTAATTATAGAACAACTCAGGAGCATTTCGTTTTTTTAATTTAAATATTAGGAAGTCTAAGAAAATCAAATTTTTAATAAAGACATCCATCCAGTATGAGCATTTAATAAATAAATCATCGTTAATCAAAGAAAATTGAATAAAAATAAAATAGAATAAAATAGTTTTATAATATAATTTGTATACCAATTTTTAGTCCCTTCAAAGGACTTCAAATATGTAATCTAAAAATAATTCTTATAAAAGTCTAAACAAGTTATGGAAAAGTTTTTAAAAGAAGTAAAGATTAAAGTAATATTTTTATTATAATAATTTTAAGACTAGATGATAAATCATAATTCTAATTAAAATGTACTAGTGTTAACCTAAACATAGTAACTAAAGTAAGACGGTCTTGCAAAATAGCAACCATAGAATAATGACCTCTATCTTTATGATCTGCCATAAATCAAGTTAAGGGCATACCATCATCGCCAAGATCTCCTAACCATATCCATGCACATTGGCCACAATTAATTTATGAAGCACAAACTTCCTTCCTGCCAGCACGCATTTGGTGTAACCAACACTGGAGAACACTTGAGTGACCACTAGCAAGGTCGGCATTATGTAGCTGTAGCACCAAGCATGACGATAATTATGATACCGATTCGCATACCGATAATATTGAATGGTCCCCTATGGTTACATGATCTTTTCATCTCTTTGCAGCTGCCAGTCGAGTGACGGACATGAAGATGTGCAGATTGCTTAACACAAAGCTGCTACTCAGGAGAATTCTTCTTCTGCTTCTGATGATGCTGCTAATGGAATTGCAGGTAAGGAAGAAAAACCAACCACCTTTCACCTCTGACTGATTGCCCAACGATTGCCCAAGTGGTCTGCCTATGGGAAATCTAATCTATTTAACAGTTCTTAGCATGAACTTCCTGATTAGGCCACATGAACCGTAACCAATCGTTGGCCAATAGTCAGCCCAACCAACAGTCTAACGGATATGCTCTGCTCTAATGCAGATTGCGTATCGACCGCGAACGGAAGAAGCTTTTGTCTGGCCAAAAAATTATGTGGCTTTGTTGCCATTGCTGCACTGCTGATGTAGCACTTTTTCTGTTTTTTTCGGGGGGCTCATAAAACCAAAGACTTAGGACACAAACTCGACCGTTTGATTTATGGCATTGCGTATACGCCCCACGCGCCAAAAGCCACACGCACTTTTTGTAAAATCTTCTTTTTCATCTTTTTTTTTTGCAGCCCATCAGTGGTTTGGAACAAAGCACCGACTATTCGGTGGTTAGCAAAACGGCGGGTGTGGCCACCACCACTTCGGCACCACCCACTTTGGTGCCACCACATCGGATCTTTAAAGGTCGCATTCAAACCACCACACCTTCGCCGAGAACCACTCGTCCCTTGGCCACAGGATCTGAAGCCCAACAGGAACTGGTTAAGATCTCTTCGAAATCGTATATTTCTGGACCCACTACACAACCCTCAAAGTTGTCGAAGAGAGCAGGATTGGCAGGTCCCAAGAAATTCCCCAAGGATGTGCGCAATCGCAGCAGCAGTGCTGTGGAGCGCAATAAATTGCAGCACGAGGTGGTGAGTTTGGCTGGGTTATTTTATAGAATTTTGTAATTAAATAATATTACTAAAAATAAAGCCCGATCACGTGCCCGACTCCTCTGGCTATATACCCCATCGTATTGGCCATCCTGTGCATTTGGACTACGGTTCTACAGGTGTGGATTCAAGTGGGGCTCCCACAGGCAGCGCGGGATATCTTGCGGCGCCCTATGAAAACAGCAAGTGGCAGGAGGAGTACTGGGATCAGGAATACGCGGGACATCAGCACCAACACAATGGCACCAGAGTTCAGCGTAAGATATTATATTTCATTAAGCATTTACAAAGTAGGTATTCGTGATGTGGCTTTTTAGATTTGGTTATTAAACAATAAAACATTAAATTCTGCAAAATAATTGCACCTTCTTTCTATTTCTTAATTTAGATATCGAAGCAGAATGTCAAGATGACTACATGAAAATACGAATTGGTTTCAATGGCTCCTTCAGTGGTTTACTATATTCGGCTGGCTATGCCTACGATCCGGATTGCATGTACATCAATGGATCTGGTAGAGATTACTACGAGTTTTACATTCAGTTAAATCGATGTGGAACGTTGGGAAAGAATTCCCTGCAAGAAGAAAGTCGCAAGAATCCCACGGTGCATATGATTTATATTGGATTTAATTACAAGACTTAAAAATAATTTGTATCTCTTTTAGAACTTTATGTGGAACACGGTAACAGTTCAGTATAATCCATTGATCGAAGAGGAGTACGATGAGCACTTCAAGGTCACCTGCGAGTATGGCTATGACTTCTGGAAGACTGTAACCTTTCCCTTTCTAGATGTGGAGTAAGTATGGAAAATATGATGAAATATATTTATTAAAATCTATTTACCTCCTTCAGAGTGGCTACTGGCAATCCCGTGGTCTTCACATTGAGTCCCCCTGAATGTTATATGGAGATCCAGAATGGTTATGGCATTGGAGGTCCCCGTGTGACGGGTCCAGTGCGTGTGGGCGACCCTTTGACCTTGATCATCTACATGAGGAGCAAATATGGTAAATGGATTTAATCGCCAGTATCTAAACTGATTTATTAAAACGATCCCCTGCGCAGACGGCTTCGATATCGTGGTCAACGATTGTTATGCCCACAATGGCGCCAACAAGCGGATACAGCTCATCGATCAGCACGGCTGTCCGGTGGATGACAAGCTCATCTCACGCTTCAGGGGCTCCTGGTCGGATTCGGGAGTGTACGAGACGCAGGTGTACGCGTACATGAAGACCTTCAGGTTCACTGGCTCCCCGGCGCTCTATATCGAGTGCGATGTGCGGATGTGCCATGGAAGGTGTCCAGTAAGTTATACATTTTAGTTCAACTGTCATGATAATTTCTTCGAACCATTTTTTTTTAATTTAAAAAATAATTGTTCATTTTTTAAAACAATTTAAATATGTTTTAGAGAAAATTAAATCTATTTATTATTTTTTTTTATATAAAAGTTTATTAATTTTAAGATTTTTTGATTTAAAACATTAAGGTTTTTAAAACATTTATTTTTTATTCCTTTACAATTTTATTATATTTGCAATAATTATTTATTAATTTTTTCACAGAGCCAACCATGTCACTGGAGAAATCTAAAGGCGGTGACCAAGCGGGATACCTCTAATATGACAGCCACAAATCTCTCCATACCACCATTATCCGCCGATGGCGAAGGACTGACCACTGAGAATCCACCATCTAATTCCCTATCTGAAAATGTAAATCTCTTCCAATCGCTGCGTGTTTTACAAGAGGGTGAAACCGATGGCGATGATGTGTATGCCCATCGACAGACGAAACCCCTGGCACCACATCAAACCTGCCTGAAGACATCCACATTTTCGGCACTAACTGCTGGCTGTTCAGCGGTATTATGCGTGCTCACAGTTACCCTTTTCATTGCCTGTTCGCGGTTAAAGCGTCGCAAGGAGTCCTCACTGTACGACTCGTATATAGCACACAAAGGACAAATCGATTGATGACCATTGCAATTGGCCAACAGTTTTGGCCCTGTTCTGAGCACATTGTGTATATAGCTTATGGCCCACGAAATTCTGTTTTAGTTAGAGATAAGTTTACTGTAGTCTTTTTTGTAGGTTCAGCGTGCTAGTGTTAAGTTTTGATTTTGCCAACTATGATCGTGAGTGAAAAAGCACTCAAGGTTTCTAAAAATTTTAAATATAATAATTATGAAATTCTTCGTTTCTTAATGAATAAAATATTTTAAAGAGATGTTTTGAACGAAAATATGTTTTTATTTCTTATTTTATTGAAACATGTTAATTTAATATGTTATGTTATTTTTATGTTATTCCTTCTCTTACTTTTTGCATCCACGGCAATGTGGTGGACGTGGTGTACCTGATCTGGCAAGAATAGCAATCACTAAATGGTAAACGTTTTATTAAGTAAACGTTTTATTAAAACAACGAAGATCTTACCGCAAATGTTAATAAGGGCTGCAAAGCTCATGGTGATCTGAAGCTCTTAGATTAAATGCTTCTGGTTTTGGGTTCTAGTTTTTATAGGTAAAACGAATTAGTGCTGGAAAATTTTTAATTTATGTAAGGGCGACACAAATTGTTAATTTAAATGTGAGCTTCGAAAAGTGTCACCGAAAAAACATATATACTAACAACTTTCTCTTTTCCAAAATTTTAAAGTTTTTCTCTAATATTTATCTATTTATTTTTAAATTATACAATTAATTTAAAACATTACATTTAATATTAAATATTTTACACTTAAGCCTAACTTTACTTACATGTATTTTTGATCTAACGTATTGTGTTGCCTATTTATAGGGTTAAAAACTTTAAAAATTGTGATTTTTTAAAGATGTTGCTAGCTTTTAGGATCGCCCTTTTAAAATCGTTTCAATTTGTTCCAATCTCGATGTAACTGTGGCCTTTGGAGGCGGGTTTTGTTGAGTTACCGTTTATGCCGCCGCATGCGGCAGGCATAAGGAAGTCGAAGGTGACTCGTGCCACCTGCAGCACTTCCTCATGCGACCGGCTTTGTCCTCAGCCATTGACACGTCCATTTTCGGTGTTTTCGAGAGCTTGTCACCGCTGAGCCATGGAGATTTATGTGTTTTGACTGTTATTTTTTGTTTTTGTCGGTCGTGCACCTAGCCGCATGATTTTCTGTTTGTTGTTGCCTCGAAGACGCTGAAGTTTGACACAAATTTTCGCGACTGCGGCGCGCCGCAAAGCATTGCCCAAAAAGTGTTAATATGGTTGAGGACTTTTAATATTGCCCAATCGCACAACCGCTGCCGCTGCAATTTGAGCATCAGCCGCAGAAATACACTGCTAATTGTGCAATTTTCGATTCCTCTATTATTGTTTTGGCAAACGCTCGCCTGTTCTTGGGTGTAAAAATTAACACGGAATCGGAACCAAGAGCCCGGCGGCTAATTAATTTATTTGACTGTGCGAAAACAAACAAAAGAATCCAAATATGTTTATGATATCACATTACACTTATGCGCAGAATGGCAGCGTTTTTTTCACACACTGTTTTGCATACAATGATTGTTTGAGATTTTGTTGCGCTTTTTTTGCTCATTTATGATTAATGACAGTTTAAGAAGCGAGTGAGCAAAACACACTAATTGAATCATAAGGTGGAAGTGGCACTCTAAAATATTTTTAAAATGCCGCGACATGCCTTCTCTCCTATATTTATTTCTTTGCATAACGACCCCGCCCAGTGGGTTTTTTGGGTGATTTCTCCACCACTTTTCTAGGCCATCTCGGGCACGTAGATCTGTGTGGCTAACTATAACCAAAACGGCGACGACGACCTTGAGCCAAAGTGTTTCAATTGAATGCAGCGAAATGATTAACTAAAAATTGATGAAGATACAGAAATTAATTTGATGTAATTCGCGTTGGCGTCGGCTTTGGCTGCAATTGATTTTATCGCTCTTTAAGGGGAAACGAGAGGAAAAACTTGCTGCTGGTGACACCAAAATGGCACCCAAATTGCACCAACCACCAGCCACACAAAGGCTTCAAAGTTGTGCTTTTTATGCGATTTAGAGGCGACCTTAAAGTTTTTTGCCTTTACTATTGCTATTGCTGTTGCCTTTGCCCAGCGCAGCAGCCGCATGTCTCATAACTTGCACGTTCGTGGCCTGAGTCTTTCGTTTTTCGTCTTTCGTTGCATTGTATTGCGCTGTCATGCGCACATGAAAATCATCATCAGCTAGCCAAAGAAACGCCGAAGAAAAACCACTCGGAAAAAAGTGATCGTTTTTCTGTTAAAAGTTATCAGGTTAAAATGTATCGCTGCAACTTGCACAGAAATATATCTGAAAACATTAACATGTATTTAAAAAAATTAAAAATATATTAACTAAATTAATATTATAGATATTTTAAAATGTATTTAAAATATGGAAATTAAGTAAATTAATATTTTAAATTGTATTTCAAAAAATTAAATTAAATTGTTCTTTCAATTTGTAAATTTCATCTTTTTAGAGCAATATTGGTTCCTTCTTTATATTTAAATAAAATTTTAAAAATATTAATTTTGTATCGAATATAATTTTATTAAATCCTATTTGCTTACTTTCATTAATAGCCTCGTCAAATAAACTAGAATTTTTAATAGTGCATCAAAGGCAACTTCAGTAACTCTGTAAAAATCAGTAATGTAAAAATATGCTTTCATTACCAAACGTCTGGCGCACAGTATAACACACATATGGCATGTATAATGTTTTCCTTTGGGCAACTCATCGTTGGCACTTCTTTTTTTTAAGTTTTTCAGAAGAATAGTGCGGAGAGACTTTTCATTTGTACTTGGTTTTTCACCCCTCCACCCTTAATAGATTAAATAAATTGTACAGCTATCAATCAATTCACGGAAGTTTACCACAGCAGCCATTTGGCAATATAATTCAAAATGTAATTAAAGGTTGAGACAAGTGCTGACAGCTGAATGAGACTTGGAAACCCAAAAAGGTCAGCAAAGAAGAATGGGCTTGCATTATCAGATAACTGGAACAAATTTGGTACTTGAAGTCATGGAATTAGTTAACCTAAAAACCTTAACATTTCGGTGAGCAGTTATTTAAATCATTTAGGCGCCATGAGGAACTGCGCCTTTGCTAATGATACCCACCGGCGATTAGGCGCAGAAAAAACTATGAAATAACAAATTAAATGCCACGCCCACTTGACCTTTTGAGGCGTTGCCTTTGTTCGTTATTTTTTTGCTGTTGTTGTTCGCTTAATTTATAGGCCCAAGTGTTGTGTCATAATTAAACATTTTTATAACACAATAAAGCGAGATTATCCAGATAGCGGAAGCATTCTTCCATTTACTTTTCGCAATCACTGTGGTGGAAACTGTTTTTTGAGTGGGGCGGCAACCCTGGAGGCCACCGCACATGTAAACAAAAATTATCAAAACAGCTGATAAGGCCGACTGCTTTTGTTTACAAACTAAAGATTAGTTGAAGGGTGGGTTTTTTCAAAAAAAACAACTCTTGATAAGAGAGAGCTTTTCCGCTCATTTATCCGTAATTTTTTGCGCCTGCGCATAGGTATTTTTTTGAGATTTGGCTGCTGCGCTCTAGAAAGTCAGAATCCCATTGATTTTTATCCAGAATCCCGAAGTAGAGTTCTTAATCCGCACCCAAACTGACGGCTCCAGCTCAAGACGAAAAGTTCGCAAAGAAAATTGCACATAAACTAGTGAAAAATTAGCAATAAATTTGAAAAAATATATACAAAATCAAGAGAAGCTTGATAGAAGGTGAAGAGTGCTGTTTTCAAGATGTTTGCCTGGATTTAAGGCTAACCAATTTGTGTCTACAGTTTTTGGGGCGTGGGCCCAGAGGCAACCCGATACTCCCAGTTAGCCATGTCCCTGGAGTGAAGTGAAAAAACGTGGACGAAATCATGGAGTCTTCCAGCAAATCCTGGCTGCTTGGAAGCATCCTGCTGCTTCTGGCCGTTTCTTTGGGTACGTACTTTGGGCTGCGAAGGGAGGGACTCCGCCCCCCGCCCCCTTTCGGGCGGGGGCTGTTATGTAAGAAAAAAGAAAAACCTGGAAAAGAGACCCTAACAACTTTGTTAACTATGCTAACCGTTTATTAGACCCCGCAAAAAAAAAAAAAAAAAGAAAAACTATCTCTCTATTTCTCTTCTCTTAGCTAGCTTACGATTTTACAGCAATGATTTGATTTTTTTCTTAAATTTTACGCTTTGCGCTGGCAGCGCCGCCTTAACAAGTTCTCCAAGCTCTCATTGCCAACCACCAAGTACCAAGTACCAACTACCACCGGCCCTTCAGCTCCAACGCATCCAACGTTTTGTGTATATAGCTTAGCCACACTACCCCCAAAATGAACAACAACAAGAATAAGAACTGGATATAGTAGATAATAACCGCCACACAAATCTCAACTTGCGATTGCCCCGAATGAGACAAATGAGACTTGGAGAATCTGCCAAAGCGTCGCTGCTGCAGCGCTGCAAACGAAAAAAAAAACCGAAATTATAACCGAATCACAACTGCGCTAGTCATCAACTCTATGTAAACTATATAAATATATATTCCGTAATCTCAAGTAGAACTCCTCATAGCACACACCCCCCGCACTCAGTCAAGTGCCGCCCAATTCAGACTAGATCTTCTGCCATTAAAATAGCCTATATCTTCAATCTCTATATAGATTCACTTAACCTTAGCTTAGCTCTAGCTATCTCTCTCTTGCTCTCGCTCTCTCTCTGCCTCTGTCTCTTTCGCTCCCGCTCTACTCTAGGACTCCAAATCCTCCAATGCTCGACAACTGTTAACTTCTGTACCTGAACCAAACTATCAAACTATACTTCCAGTACACCTGCATATACTCGTCTTACTCTATGAATATTTTACTTATATATATATAATTCCCCAGCTATAATCGCTTTTGTAATTAAACCTTTCTCCAGAGTCCCCTCTGCATCTCTCTCGCTCGCTCGCTCTCTCTTTGATTCTATGACTCTCTATCTCTCTGTCTCTGTCCATCACCCCCAAAAAATAAGTAAAAATAATAACCCCCCGAACTGTGTATCTACGAAAAGCGTGGTAGCCAAGGTCCTTGAGGGACCCGCAGGATGGGTGGTGGCATATTACATCCCGACCGACCACCGCAACCGAAAAATGAACAGCAACCGAAAAGAAACAGAAAATGCAAATCGAAACGAAAATGCAATGAACTGAACCAACAATATATATATATAAAGATTTCTGTATCAACTGCCGAATCTTAATTCATACTCCTTCTCTTCTGAGCAGTCCAAGAAGTAACGAAAAGAAAAGCAAATAGAAATTGTAGTCGAAATTTGCATAGACAGAAGAACCCCCCATGTTCAGGTTTAGAGTTATATATTTGGTATATAAGAAATATAAAAATAAAATATTAGTACATTCACAATCACCCGCATACCAGAACACATACACAAACATTCGCTTAGTATCATCATCATACATATATGTACCCACCCCAAAAATCATATCGTTCACCTAGCGTAAAGTGCAACTCCAAAAAACGAGTTTCGAAAGTCACGCGCACCCACATTGTAGCAGAACTTTGTGCTCCATATATGAGACCGCACACACGCACACACACTTGAGGAACAAGGATAACCCGGTCACACACACATGCGGCCGAGAGTGTGGGCCCCAGCATCCCTGAGTATTCCTCTCTCTCTTGCTCTCGCTCTCTCCCACTCTTCCTCTCTCGCGAAGGACACCGCGTGGAGCTTTTGCGGATAAAGTTCGCTCAGCTGTCAAACAGAAAGGAAAACAAGACTATAGCCATCTCAGTCCCTCGTAGAAATCTAGAAGAAGAAGAAAATCCCGTTAGGTTCCTAGAACGTCCCTGCTCGGGCGCCACTGAAAACGTTGCACTTTGTTAAGCACCAAATAGCTAGCTCTGTAACCCTGTTAACTTAGTTCTTTTTGTGAGCCAGGACTCTAGGACTGTAAGAACCACGAGGCACTCGCATTAAACCATCCACCATGTGGGGGTGGGGGGTTCATCTCAAAAAGAACCACCTCCCCTTTCTCATAGTTCTTGTTTAATGCAAGTGCCTCCCATGCGGCGTATACTCAACGTAGGCCAGAACAACAGCAACAACATACCACCACCACAACAGACACCCACCTGCACCACCACCCGAAAAAGAAAAACAAATTACAAAAAAATAAACCAAAACCACAATCGAGCGGTTCTCATGTGTCGTCCATTTTTGTTTTACTTTCCCAATCAAAATTCCAAAATGCTGATGCTCAAGTTGGAGACGAAGAATCGGTTTAAAAAGTCTGAAAATGCCTCTGTCCTATCTGCCTATCTCTCTCGGTCTCTCTCTTTCACTCTTCCTCTCTCTCTCGCTCTGTCTCTGTCTAACTCTATCTGTCTATAAGCTAAATCATCCCAAAAGCCCATACAAAAAAATTTAAAAAAAGAACAACAAGAAAAACTTAAACAAAGAATACAACAACTTTGCTCATCCGTTCGTTTCTTTGTTTCTCTGTATTTTCTTTCATTACTTTTGTCTCTTGTGGAAACCCTATGTGTTATTTGTGTGCCCCACCATTGTGTTATTATAAACCTCTATCCCAAACGATCCCTGAAATCCCTGAATGTTTGTGTACTCTCTTCCGTTATTTTTGGGTTCGCTTCTGTTTCCGTTTCCGTTTTCCGTTGTGTTTTTTAGTCAGTGCATCCGAAGATGAAGAGCGCCTGGTGCGTGACCTCTTTCGAGGCTACAATAAACTCATACGACCCGTACAGAATATGACACAAAAAGTTGGAGTAAGATTTGGTTTGGCGTTCGTACAGCTAATCAATGTCGTAAGTGTTCTCAAAATCAAATTTGTCAAACAAAAACAACCTGAATAATAACAATAAGATTATGCTAATAAAAAAAACAAAAAAAGATCATAACTAACATTCCGTAGAGTGTAAATGTGTTTTCGAGTTCTGTTCCTAACAAATTCTTCAGTTTCGTTGCTGTCATAATCGTTCATCTAAAAAAAGAATAACATACAAATACACACACACGCCCATCAACAGTCAGTCAGTCAGTCAACCCTCACACACACACACATGCACTGGCTGCTCCCTCGGCCACGCCCCCTACCCATCGTCAGAAAAAAAGGGGCGGGAGGAGGGGCGCATCCAAAGTTTTCAGTTTCGGTTATGCTTTGTAAATAATTACGTACACGTTGTCTTGACTTTGTATGTTTGTAGTGAACTTGATGCTAGTAAATCAAATACAAAATACAAATACTAACCCTAAACAATTAAGATGAAACAAGCAAAAAACAAACTAACCAACTAACCAAACTAACTAACTAACTAAAGTAAAGCCACATGCGAAATAATGTCTCTTAACTACCTTCCCACCCGCTCTCTCTCGATTTCTCGATTGTGTACGCCAAAAACAAAAAAACAAATAAACATTCGATTCGATTTTGATTCGTTTCGAATCTCAAATGCAAATCGTACCCGAACTCCGTACTTCGTACCGATTCTCTCACACCACCAACCAACCAACCAACTAAACCACCAACCAACCAACCACCAAACCACCACCATTTGATCACAATCAAAAATCAAAAACAAATGAATTCCCGAATCAAAAAAATCGGAAAATCGATAACCGATCAAGAATGAGAAAAATCAAATTATGAAATCAAACGTTTGGTTACGTTTGGTTTGGTACGACTACCAGCTGCAGTGGGATGAGGCCGACTACGGCGGCATCGGGGTATTGCGTCTGCCCCCCGACAAGGTTTGGAAGCCGGACATAGTGCTCTTCAATAAGTGAGTAAATGGCCATTTTCTAGCTAACCCAAACTACAAACTCCAAAAACTCTTAGAACACTAATCCAAAACAGAAAAAAAGAATAGAAACTGTAGGGGAAAGTCGGAACTTTCCTTGGAAAGACATGTTGAGACAATATAATAATAATATACCATTTCCGTCGACAGTGCCGATGGCAACTACGAGGTGCGCTACAAGTCGAACGTGCTGATCTATCCAACTGGAGAGGTCCTGTGGGTTCCACCGGCCATTTACCAGAGCTCCTGCACCATCGATGTGACGTACTTCCCCTTCGATCAGCAGACCTGCATCATGAAGTTCGGATCTTGGACCTTTAACGGAGATCAAGTATCGCTGGCCCTGTATAACAACAAGAACTTTGTGGATCTATCGGATTACTGGAAATCGGGTACATGGGATATTATCGAGGTTCCCGCCTATCTGAATGTCTACGAGGGCGATAGCAATCATCCCACGGAAACGGACATCACTTTCTACATCATCATCCGCCGGAAGACTCTCTTCTACACTGTGAATTTAATTCTGCCCACTGTGCTCATTTCGTTCCTCTGCGTTTTGGTATTCTACCTGCCAGCCGAGGCCGGCGAAAAGGTAAGATAGAGGTGATCATAATCTCGGTTATGGGAGGTCACATCTGGTCAGGGGTGGGGTCATCTCCAGATTACACTTAAATATATCTTTAATATTCATAATAATATTTATTCCACCTGAGGTTTGTCCAACCATTTATTTCCATTTAATTAATGACCAAAGAATATTCCCAAATAACATTAATTAGCTAAACTTCAACATCTGGTTTTTAATCTGACTAATTGGAAAACACAAGATTGATCAGTTTCAATTCGATACGCCACTGTTGTTTGATGTATTTTTAAAAAATAATTTAAATTGAGTGATGATCATTCTTGATTTTTTTTTCTATTGTTCAAATTAGTAAGTTGATTTGTAAAATGAGAATGTTCTTCTTTTAAGTAAGAGAACGTCAGAAATATCTTTGTGTAAAGAGGGAATTATGTAAAAGGAGTGTTTAAATGACCTGCGTTTTTGTATAGCAGAACGAACCTTTTTTCCTCAGTGTATGGATCATTTATAGATTGGTTTACGATCGGTTAATAACGCTTTGTGTCCCCAGGTTACGCTCGGAATTAGCATTTTGCTGTCACTGGTTGTGTTCCTGTTGCTGGTATCGAAGATTCTGCCGCCGACGTCGCTGGTGCTGCCGCTGATCGCCAAATATCTGCTGTTCACCTTCATCATGAACACGGTGTCCATTCTGGTCACCGTGATCATCATCAACTGGAACTTCCGGGGGCCGCGCACCCACCGCATGCCCATGTACATCCGATCGATCTTCCTGCACTACCTGCCCGCCTTCCTCTTCATGAAGCGCCCCCGGAAGACCCGTCTGCGCTGGATGATGGAGATGCCCGGCATGAGCATGCCCGCCCATCCCCATCCCTCCTACGGCTCCCCGGCGGAGCTGCCCAAGCATATCAGCGCCATCGGTGGCAAGCAGTCCAAGATGGAGGTCATGGAGCTGTCGGACCTGCACCATCCCAACTGCAAGATCAACCGCAAGGTCAACGCCGGCGGGGAGTTGGGCCTGGGCGATGGGTGTCGCCGCGAGAGCGAGTCCTCCGACTCCATCCTGCTTTCCCCGGAGGCCAGCAAGGCCACCGAGGCAGTGGAGTTCATCGCCGAGCATTTGAGGAATGAGGATCTGTATATTCAGGTGAGATGAAGATCTAAATAAATTATGTTGTTCTAACCTGCAGTTAAAAAATGTAGAAAAATAATATACTATTTAATTTATTAGTTTTTCTGTACTTATAATTCAAATAATCAAAAATTACTGTGATAAATAATAAAATAAACAAATACAAAAATACTTTTAAATAATTTAGAAATACACTCATAAAAATAATTTTCTACATTTTAGAAAATCGCCCTAAAAAAATGTTCGCCTTTGAACTGAGAAAAATTTTCTATTTTCACGACAAATTTGCCATAAATTTAAGGCAGGTGACCATAAAAAAATATTTTTAGGGTTAATTTTTCTATTTTTCTAATATTTAGGGCGATTTTTTCGATTTGCTTCGTTTTGACCTTTTCTAAATCCAACGGCGAATTGCCCTAATTTTTTTTCTAAAATTTTTCTAAATACAATGGCGATTCGCCTTAAAAATCACTCCAAAAGTGTGAAATTCGGTAGCCCAGCGGTCTAATCACTTGCGCTTTCAACTTTGCTATATGAGGACTAAGGTCGTGGGGTTGTGGGTTCGAACCCTGTGTGATTCAACTTGATTTTTAGGTTTTTTTTTTTTTTTTGTAAACATTATAATATTGAGGACATTTTTTCGTCCGAATTTTAAATTAAAGTAGTCTTTAAACCTTAAAAACGTATGGGAGTTCTGAGTTAAAAGCATACTTTGTGTTTGCGGGCAAGAAAACGGAACTAATTGTCACAGTCGTCAGGAAATAAATATACGGTTTAGTTGCCTATAGTCATATTATAACGTAGACCTCAAGAAAATAAGATGTGTGCAGAGTTTGTTCGTCGTCTTGCGCGATGGGTCTGTGGTGCAGCGGTAGGACGTTAGACTCTAAACCGAGAGGTCGTGGGTTCGATTCTCGCAAAGACCAAAAAAAGTAAGTTGTTTTTTCTCCTCATATTTATTTCCCTAATTCATTTACAAACATGATTTTTCAGTTCTAACGGCTGTGCTGTATAGATCGGGCCCCCCTCTTAACGCGGCTCCCATATAAGCTACACACCAATACAATAATATGAAACGGTGTCCTCCGCCGGTGTTGTTTAATTAAAGCAGTCCCAGTTCCCAGAATATAGACGATTAAAAAAAAACATGCTTCCCAAATTCAGTTAAGCATGCTCAAACACGATTTTTTTTAATTTGTCTAATATTTTAGGGCATTTGCCTATAAAAACAGAAAATTCGCCCTTAATTTTAGAAAAATACACCTTAAAATTAGGGCAAATCACCCTAAAAACAGGAAAATATTTCTCATTTCAAGAAAAATCACCCTAAATTAAACCAAATTTCCATCGGGATTTTTTAGAAAATTTTTCTAAATACACGGGCGAATCGCCAGCGGATACGATTTATGGGCGATTTTCTAAATCCACGGGCGAAAAGTCAGTTTTTTAGGGCGATTTAGGGTAAAAATTTCTATGAGTGTATGGTGAAGCTGAAATAATGAACTTTTTTTAATAATTGTTTCCGGAGTATTAAGAAGTACTTAAAGAATAAGCTACATTTTATTGATTTAAAAATATTTTAAAGGTGCAGAAATATAATTATTTCTCTTATAACAAATAAATACTATTTTCAGAGATAATAAGAAGTACTTACATAAAATGAATAGCCACATAACTATTGCAAAGTCAACAAAATTCACTAATATTTACCTTTTAACAATCCATGCAATCTGTAGACCCGCGAAGACTGGAAGTACGTGGCCATGGTGATCGATCGTTTGCAGCTGTACATCTTCTTCATTGTGACCACGGCCGGAACGGTGGGCATTCTGATGGATGCCCCGCATATTTTCGAGTACGTGGATCAGGATCGCATCATCGAGATTTACAGGGGAAAGTAAACAAAGACACGAGAAGTCAGAAAAGGACTTGGAGCAGCCGGGGGCTGATGAAATGGTTAACAGCATTGCAAACGCAACAATAATAAGCAAATCGAGGTATTGACACACAAAGAGGAGAACAATGAAAAATTGCCACAATTAATGCGGATTTTTAGATTTTAATAATTAATAAAGAACACTAAACGATATTTGCTTGAGCAGAATTAACACCTAACAAATAACTAACTAATATTAACTCTTTTTGGTAAACACACGAATTGGAACACTGAATACACACACAACCACACACTAAACAGTCGTCAAGTAAAACGAATAAGCAAATAAATAATAATTCACCAGCAGCAACAAATGTTAAACAAATAAATCAAAACAACACGAAAAACAACCTAGTGGAATTGTGAGTAAATTTATAATTTTTAAAACGAACTTAGCTAATATAGACATACAATATAGAATGAAGATTTAGTTTAAGAGCAATAAATAGAAACCCAAAAAACTTTGTTATGTTGTGCCAAAAAAAATCGTAATCATAAGTAATCGCAGTTTTACGCATGAGATTTAAGAATGGAAAATACAAGAAAAACACCCCAAATCAATTTGTAAATGCTTCTCAATCGCGATCGCAGCAGTAGCATAAAGATCGACTTAATCGGAGGCTTCGGAGACTCATGATACCCGGAGCCAACCAAAACATGAAACCAATAAAAATGCAAAGTTAATTAAAAAATCCGTCTATTAATTTCATAGCCACATCGCTCATACGCCGCGTGTTACGCGCTTGGTCAGTTGGCTTATTAACTAATTGATATGGGCATAATATTTTATTTTATTGGCCAACTGGAGGATAGAGAATGTCGATTCAAATAAGCCAGTGTCAATTGTTAAGCTCAGGCAAAGTCAATAAACATTAAATGGTTTGTGTAGGGATGTGGGGAGCCAATTATGTAAGCACGATTCTAACAGTTATTGGCCATATGTGTACACTCAGAAAAAATTCTTGCCAAATTTAAAAGATCTCGGCCTTGAATGGGGAAGACTTTGAATATTTTTGTTAATAAAAGAAAGGTTTTTGTTGTTTTAAATTCTTTCTCAATCAACAATTTAAAGAAAAATTCTTCCTAAAAAATAAAAAAATTGAAATCTTGCAAAATTAACAGAATTAAATGTATTATTTCTAATATTTCTTTCTTAAAAGAAAGTTCAGGTTGCCTTGTTTAAATTCGAGAAAAAGGAAATTCTTAGGCTTTTTTTATAAGTGCTTGTTGTTTGCTTCGATAACTAACGTTCTTCGAAAGATATTCGCACATTAATCATCCGCCCACGTTGCCGAGTTGGTGTGAATTCTGCCTGTCTCCCATCGGACCTAATTAGCCAAACACATAAACCCGGCCAGAAATTCCCCCATTTGGTTCCTGGTTAAGACAGAAAAACTAACTAGTACGCGGCGTTATTGACTTACAACCGTCGCTGATTACCAGATACAGATATATAGATACTGTATCTCTCTGTCCTCACCTGTGGCTACATCAAAGGTTGCAGCATCACGACGACGACGATGATGATGACGACTGAGCCCGCCGATTGAGCCAAAACTCGTACTCATACTCGTCTCGCTGGCTGACTCAAAACTTCGGCATCTCACAGAGCAACTGAGCAACGACTTACGCCGACTTAGCCAACTTAGGGGCTGCTCTTGGCCAGGCCGGTATAAATGCGCCAAGGGAGAACATTTGGGCATCATTCGATTTCTGATTTTGCAACGAAGACGTCGCATCGGGCAAATATATTTTTACAACTCGTGTGCGGTTCCGTCTGCGAAACCGGTAATAATTCGATTCGCTGTGTGTTTCAAGTGTTCAGGAAAAACTCGGAAAAACTGCAAGTTTTTTTAGTTAGCAGAAATGGTGAGTTTGTCGGTTAAAAGGCTTCGCATTTTCATCTGTTTTTCATCGGTTTTCCAGCGCTTTTTCCTGCCTCTGGTGGCCACCCTGCTCTTGGCAGCGTGTGTCCACGCGGATGTCTCCCACCTGGACACGGATCTCCAGGAGGATGGCTATCACTACAAGCAGCCGTCGGTGCCTTTTCCGCCGCCGGGCTCGGGAAATGGTATTGAGGATTCGGGCATAGGCTCGGGACCCGCTCCCTCGGCTCCAGCTCCTTCGTATGGACCTCCGGCGCCTCAGCCAACTCAACCTGCTCCAGGTCCTTCCTATGGACCACCGCAGACGCAGCCACCTCGTCCGCAGCCACAGCCCACACCCTCGGCTCCAGCTCCTTCGCCTTCTTATGGACCTCCACAGACGCCACCTCCTCGTCCGCCACCACAGCCCACACCCACGGCTCCAGCTCCTGCTCCAAGTCCTTCCTATGGACCTCCGCAGACACAGCCACCTCGTCCTCCACCACAGCCCACACCCTCGGCTCCTGCTCCACCGCCATCCTATGGACCTCCACAGCCGCAGCCACCATCGCCGCAACCTGGTCCGGAGTACTTGCCCCCCGATCAGCCCAAGCCGCGACCCACTCCCTCGCGTCCTCAGCCGCCGCCACCACCACCGCCACCATCAAGGCCACAGCCCACTCCAGGATATGGTCCTCCTCCACCACCGCCTCCACCAAAGCCACAGCCCACTCCAGGCTACAATCCACCACCACCGCCGCCACCAAGGCCTCAGCCACAGCCCACTCCTGGCTACGGACCACCACCACCGGGACCTGCTCCTCCTGCGCCACCAAGGCCTCAGCCTCCCCGCCCTCAGCCACCACGCCCACAGCCAGGAGCTGAGTACCTGCCGCCTCCTGGGGATAATGAGGTGACCCCCGCCCAACCGCAGCCCACTGCTCCAGTGCCGGAATATGGACCACCACCTGGTCCTACTTACCAGCCACGTCCTCCCGCACCACCTGCACCACCAGCACCTACTTATCAGCCTCGTCCACCAGCACCACCTGCTCCTGCACCAGGACCCACCTACCAACCACGTCCACCAAGTCCTCCTGCACCACCGGCACCCACTTATCAACCTCGTCCTCCCGCACCACCTGCACCTGCTCCAGGACCCACTTACCAGCCACGTCCTCCAGCACCACCTGCACCCACTCCCACCCAGGGGTACGGACCACCACCACCCACCAGTGGTGGCGATGAGGCGGGTTCCCTGGGACCCGATGGCTACAACTACAACAAGCCTGCCAAACCATTTACCTTCTAGAAAAAAGTACTCAGCAACCACTGTCCTCTGAACCACCATTGGACCTAGAAAAACCCAAGAAAAGCCCCGCCACTCAAAAATCAAAAATCTTTTTCCAAATAAAAACATAAATCTCAAAAGCCAAAGTCAAAGCTGGATATGTCAATCACTCGGGGGATTCGCTGGTGGGTCAATGTCCCAGCTTTTAAGACGACCTTCTGAGGCGTCACTTTGGACAGTTACTAAAAAAAATGGAGACAAATTAACATAAATTTTGATGGTACAGTAAAAAAAAATTATAGGTCTACAAAATAAATTTATTATATTTTTGAGGGAATAAAAGTTAATTTCAATGTTTTAAAACCTCGGTAATATCATATTATTAACAGACCAATATTTCACTTTTGTTGAAAATGTACATAATTTTTAAATGACCTGCCAGAAAAATAGTATAAATCTACAAAAAAATTTATTATTTTTTAGAAGGAATAAAAGTCAAGGGTAAATTATGTCTTGCTTTAAAAGAATATTTTTGAAATCATATTTCTCTGTTAACATTTATCCAAAAAATTACTAAAATTTCACTTTTGACAACTTTTAAATTTTTTAAAATATCATTTAATGTATAAAATACATTTATTATACTTTAGAATTTTTTGTTAAATTATTTTATTTAAATTAATTTTTAAAACCCATTTTCTCTGCTAATGTTCAACCAAAAATGCCCTTTTTTTTGCAGTGCAGGCAGATGGCCTACCCAAAATACCAGTGGTTCAAGTGCAGTCCCCAGACACCACCCAGTGGTGCATTGTGGTGCTATGGTGGCCCGTTGGCCGGTGGTCAGTTGGTAGGTCAAATCAATCAAACCTGGGGGCGCCATAAATCAGAGGCGGAAATTCCGAGAGCTTCAAGCAGCCGTGAACGTTCTCAGGCCAGTGTTTTCATTGCAATAACTATAAACCCATAACGACCATATATAAGTATATCTATAGATAGATAGATAGTTTTAGGTATATATATTGATGAGAGCCCATAATGATTGCAACTGGCATAGCCACAGACATTGCATCCATACATGGGACACTCAAGGTGCCGGCGGAGCCAAAATAAATATGAGCGAGTCGATCGATGATCGGCGATCAATCGACGACTCAATTCCCACCGGCTGTCGTCGGTTAGTCGCTTAGTCAGTCGCCAGGTTCATCAGTCATTTAGTCAATATGCCAGTTGGCTTAGTCAATAAATTGAGTTAGCCGTGGCAACTTCATTAGGTTGCCCAAAAATAAAGATAAACTAGCGAAGAAAAAAAGCTGAAAAACTGCAACTGCAATTGCAGGTTGTGCAATGATTTTCCAATAGGGTTTTCAAGGGGGGTTTTTTTCAAGAGGGGGTACTTTGCCACTAATTACATAAGGCACATACACCATAATGGCCTTCAATTTCGCTGGACACACGGGGGCGCCCTAAGCTTCAGTCGCAGCTTTTAGCTTCGATCTGAGCCATTTGATTAACGTCTTAACGAGCGGCTTGGGTGTGATTTATGTTGTCAGGCATCTGCAGCTGCACTTAGACTTTACTCTTTTTTTTTTGCGTGATTTATGATTACAGCACGGCACTTGAAAAGATTGGGGCATGACAAGAGATTCGCCACGCATTGTTTGTCTTGCCCCGATAATTACAGCGAAAAAACTAGGCCCAAAAAAACTAACAAGTTCATCAGAGATCGACCCTAACTAATTTTTAACAAAGATGACGATTCGATTCTAATTCCCTCTGCCGATTCCATCCGGGTGTAAATTTCCCATTCCAAGCCATTAATATTCCGCTGCCTCTCCATCAGCCAGCCAACACGCAAATGTAAATGCGAGTATATAAATATTAAATCATTCTAAATACGAAGAATATTATTTTTTTTACCCCAGGGCGAAATTCTTCATCGTTCATCTCTCAAATTTCCAATTAATTCTTCAAAAATTTTATCCGACAGGGGCTAATCGAAAATATTAATGGACATATTATAATTATGACTTAATGGACATACAATAAAGTCATCATCAGCTTAGATTTATGTCCGTGCTAAAGCCGTTAAAAAAACACCACCTGTTCCCTCGGCTGCCAAAAAATATTGCGCATACGCAACGTGGTACGCTTTTGAGCTGCGTTGCGTTGCGTTACGTTTAAGCTTCGTAAATCAATCACAGGCGAAATTGCCCTTGGCACAGTTTCCGTTTATTTTTTCTATTCTTCAAAGCGATTTCATCTTTTCAGCTGTCTTAGCTCATAACTGTTCAATTGTAAAAAGAAAAAACGGCAACGCACTCAAACGTTTTACAAACATTGCGTACGATGATTTGTGTAGACGGCGCCGGCCAAGAAATATGAATCGAGACGTCAGCGGTGATGCTCGAGTGGTGGATCAGTGGTTCAGCAAAAAACCAGCTACGAAAACCACTCACGCATGAAACTAGCTCTCAGTTCGCTTGAGGGGAATAATCTTTTTCAGCAGAAAGTTAGGCTAAGGATTTCCCTTAAAATCTAACTTTTTTTTGTTTAAAATGTATAGCCAACTTTACATCTGGTTTTTGGCTTTAGTATAAGCTTAGTTAAAGCTTTATTTAAACCAAGTTATTTAACAGCTTTTTGACTGCTTTATCCTAAGCTTTTTATTGTTGATTTTAGAGATAAGATAAACGCGTTTATGGTCATTTTGCGAGACATTTAAAATCATAAACGACTGGTAATTAAATATTAAAAATAACTTTACGACAGTTTTATTTGGAGGTCTACGTTAAGGCTGCTTAATTATTATTAATTATGACGTAGTTTTAGCAATAGCCCTAAATTTGTGTATATAATAACTGAAAGCAAAACCCTAAAAAAACTAAAATATAAATAAAATGTGAATAAATAATATTTTTCCATTTAATTAAAGGTTTTTTTATTTTATTTTCTTTCATGATAATTTCAATAAAAAATATTTTTCAGAATGATTAATCGGTTGTTTTTAATGGCACTTAATTTAATTGTTGTCCATTAATAAACTCTGCCATTTTAATACGTCTACGATTCTACATAAAAATAGCATTTGTACCTCCTTTACTATTTTTAAATCACTATTTATAGTTATTCATAAATCGCTATTAGCCTCAAATCGTAATTAACCTAATGACTTTACTATTTTAAATTTCAAGCGCTAGTTGTGATTTGCCCCTAGGGCTCCTTTTTTTCTATTTCTCAAGTTCTTATGGCTCCACATAAATCGATATTAACCCCAAACCTCGATTAGCTCCAATGTCTTAACTATTTTTAAACGTATTTTGCCATTTTCGAGATCTATTCATTTAAATATCGGCAATCAGCATACACCTCGACTCCGAATTGATGTCTCAATTTATGGATCAGCAGGCGAAATTCCGCGTAATCCATTTGTTACTACAACTTCCTCAAACCAATTGACCGATATTACCCCGATTCCCCAATCCTCGATTCAAAAACCCCTGACCCACGCCTCCAATCGCATGCTTGTATCACATTAACAGTAAATTAATCAATTGCTAATAGATGTTTAACAACTGTTTAACCTTCCCCACGAGCATTCAAGTGGTTGCGAATTAATCACAAATCTCCGCAGACACAGACGGCGATTTATGATTAAGCGCTGCGATTCTTGAGCGTGAACAAAATCGTTTAGCGGACGAAAATTGGCAATTATTCGCTCGGCTTCGCTCCAGACGTCGGCTCGTGGCCAAAAATAAAATATAAAAAACACAAAAAAAGATTACCTTAGCCTTTGTTAAGGATGATTGCCTGTGTAAGCTCAAGATTTCCAAGCGATTGCTGTGGGCGCCAGTGATTAGCATATTGCCAAGGCATCGCTCTATTAAATTTTAATTATAAAACGAACAAAATGCCAACATTAATCAAAAGCTGCAGAAAAGAGCGACAAACTCACGATGCGGTCTAGATCGATCAGATATCAGAGATATATGGAAAATTCATTCATTCAGAGATGAGCTGAGAGGTGAGACTTAAGCCCCAGAGGGCGGCTTTGTCACGCAAATTTTATTTTTATGTTGCTTCTGACTGACTTGCTTTTTTAAAAGACTTTTTGGTGTATTCGGCTAGCGTGAAGCAATTAACGAGAAAATATATTTAGACTGCACTTAAAAAAACATTAAACTCTAAATACTCTTAATACTAGACAATTTATTATATTTAGATATTGTATTTAGTATTTAGTACTAAATAATGTAAAGGTTATACTTTTCACCATACATATTATAAAGTTTATATTTAGTAGTTTCAAGTTTATACCAAAATATAGTCTTTATACTTTAACTCTCGTCCTAAGATATGAAGACATTTTCAAAGCCTAACAGTTTCGAATTAATGTACAGATAGTTTAGGTACTATAACCACTTTTTTCAGTGTGGGCCAGCCAGTCATGTGGGTCGTTGTTTTTTGAGCACTGACAGCACTTGTCAAACCAATCCATAATGGATGTCAAAACAGCAGCATCGGTGGCCACAATGGATCTCCAAAAGCTGGCTAAGAAATGCAAATGCAGAGTCAACAAAAAGAAACCGAATCCGATTGAAAAGGCAAACGCACGACGCATAGCAGTTAATCCAATGTTTACAATCTCTTTACAAATTTCAACCTTGGCCTTCCTTACAGACACACAAAACACACAAAGCGCAGCAAACGGCATCCGATTTGAAACAATGTCATAGCAGTTAGTCAAATCATCAGAAAGACCAAAAGAGATCCATGCAAATTTCGTATCTGGCAGATGGCAAAGATACTCCGTTGACTCACTGCAGATGGAACCCAGAATCTTACAGAAAACCTGGCAGACAGAGCGGCGGGCCAAGAAGAACCTTCATCATCATCTTATAGCCATTTGCCGCATGGAGATAATCATTCTCCGAAATATAAAAAAAGAACCCCAGAAACGGGTTCCTCTAATGGCCATTAAGCATCGTCCGACCATAATAATCAGCATTTGCATTTGTGCAAATTGGTTAGAATGGCTTATACTTATAGTTATAAACATTTAAATCGGTTTATTCTTTTTTTTTCGGTTTTTGCCGATCTAGAACTGGTTGCTCGACTTCGTGTCAGGGTGGGTTTGTCACCGAACTAG